TACAAAAGTGCATTTTGCATGATAGGTCCCCTTTAAGTACAGCAACGAAGTATTTGTTCTCCACTACTTCCCACCTCTGGAAATACTCAAAGTACTTTAGGGATGGCTAACCTCTTCCCCTGTGCCCTGCATTGTCTCCTGTGGGATGCTGTAGATCTTGTGATTCATGTCCACATTGTGTCCTTTTCCACTGCGCACTCGCACCAGAAGCACCCGGAAGCTGGAGCCCCCCAGGTCCAGAGCCAGGAAGTCCCCGTGCTCTGAGGAAGACAATCAGGATGAGAATCACAAACACAACAGCATTATGCAAAATACTAAAATGAATAACAAGTCAAGTGGTCTGTTTTTCTCTTAAGGCAGGGGTCGCATGCGGCTCCTTAAGCCCTCTGCTCTGGCTCCCTTGAGTTCAGACATAAATAAGAAGGAAATTAAATTAAAGTATTTGTAGGATAATTTAAATGTCGTTGCATGGTTGAAAATATTTCATATCTTGTATTTCGAGGTGATACTGTGACACATAAATAAAAACAAAACGGTTTTAATTAGTTCAACTAAAATATGCGTCACATCCTGCTGCGGTCCCGCGCCAGCGCCTCTTCTTGCAGGCGCATAACCTGACCCCCGGCTCGATGAGCGAACTATGGATAAATCATAGAAAAGAAAAGTATCGGAAGAACACAGAGGGTTTAATTCTGCGTGGTTAGAGTTATATGCTTTAACAGCAAACGGTGCTGGCTTACCGGTATGTTTGATATGTGGAGAGAAGTTGCCAAAGGGGCTGCAGCCTTTACGTATTGGAGGAAAAACATGGGAGAGGACAGCTGACGATCTTCAGTCATAATTCAATCAGTAAACTCTTTTTAGGGTGCAGCTATACGTTTTATTTATTTCAAAGTGGGTCGATATTAAATTGTATTTTTTTTCCTTCAAATGTGCAGAGGACTCCCCAAGTGCTCTGTTGATTTATTTTAAAGTAGGCCTGTGTATTTTTTTTTATTCTCCTTATAAGAGTTCTTTGTTTCTTATTAGAGGTTAACAGTTTTATA